AAAAAATTTAACCCGATGATGGCCCCTCGAAGATGAAACGTCGGATTGCAAAAATGTTGACGCCACTGTATAGAGCGAAAAAAGTGGCATTGTAAATATGTAATTTATTTTAAAATTCGTTTGCAAATAAAGCCAGAAAAAATTAAACAATTTTGTAAAATTTCGGGTTTTTCCAGATATCTCCGGAACTACCCGGAATTTTAAAACTTTCTAAACAGCATATTGTTAGGTATAAAAAAAACAGAACTTTTCTCTAATATGAGCCACCCCGTATCTCTTACCGCTTCCTAGATCCTAATGCCTATCCCATACTTATCTTGGACACACTGTATATCTATGAATTCATCAAACTTTAAAAAAGAAATAAGTACACTAATTGATCCTACGGAAAAAAAAATATTATTTATTTTATTTATTCACTATTCGACTTATGTTTATAGCAATACTGTACAAAAATAATTTTGGGTCAAACAATCAGACAGTTTTTTTGTATTTTTTCCGTACAATTGAATGGTGTAATCAGTTTTTTATATATTTTTTAATTCAAACAAATTATCAACAATTACTGAAAAATTCATTGCTGCAAGTAATTTTTTACATTTTTGCATTTTTGAGCATGTTTTTGAACTGTGATTACAAATTTTTTTATTTCACCAAAAAGTATGTCAAAACGAAAAAATGGTTACCGGCAGAACTCTGTACGATGATTTTTTTAAGTAGAATTTTTGTTTGAAAAAAAGGTGTTTCAGGCCGAAAAAAACGAATATTTCAAAAACTTCTTGATTTTTTTATCTAAAAAAATTTGAGGTTATTTAAGACAGAGAAAGGTCAAGTTTCGTCAAAATTAAAATATTTTTGCGGAAATGAGAAATAAAAAACTATAAATTTTTCTTGGAAATTTTGAGGTAATGTTAAAAAATGACCTCTACAAAAGTAGTAGATTTTTGCATGATCTATGACTTTAGTATTCGATACTTTTTTGTCTGACGTCAACTTTCGCCAGAAATCCCAAAGATACAATTTTTCATCACTTTTCCACCCCCCAAATCAACCCTCCGCCGCCCCTGCTCACGCATTTATTTTATTTAGGTTTATTATAAGTCCTTTTACTATTTCCACTTATAAAAGTTCAGGTAACAATTTTCTTTTTTACCCTCTAAATGAGTTATTTTGATCGGTCTATTATTATAAATAGATATTTTATTAATAAAACCATTATTATTATTAAGCTGCTTAAATTATAGAGATTATAGAGATACCTGAGACTCGATAAAACGGTTCTCCCCATATTAGGGGTAATTTCTAGTGGCAAAAAACGACATGGCGCCCAACGTGGGGCTCGAACATTTGAAAGTCCTAGGAAATATGGAATAATACGACAACATATTACGTGTTCATTAGAAAAATTACGGTTTGGTTTACCACACACCTGTAACCTGTAACCACAACCTGTATAAAGTTCAATAACGTCATAAGAAAGTTCTAGTTGGTAACCAGATAATGAAAAAGTTAGGGTGTTGTTATTAATAACGGATAACCCAGTACAACGGGAAATAACTTGTTACATTTTTAAATATGGCACGTTTCCAAGCGCTTTCATCCAGCCAAATCGGCGAGCTGAATTGAAACATCTCCCCGCCCATGGCACGCTATGATTCATTGCAGCAGCAAGGGTAAAAAATCCATAATGTAAATACCGCCAAGAAATTTCTAAATGGTTCAAGGTTTCTCCAATTATTGCTGTGGATTATTATTACGAGTACACCACTTTGATATTTGTTTCTCGGTATTCAAAGTGTGTCAGGTTCGGCGGCGAGGGTCGACTTTCGTTCGATTTCCTTTAATATTGGAAAACAATTAAAGCTGTTCAAGTCAACTTTTATTTGTACCGTATGATGCACGAATACTTCCCGCTGGGAGCGCTCTGATGATCATAGATATTTAGAACAACAAATTCGAAGGTATCACTTTCATTCACACAAGCTATCGCCTTGGGTATCCACGTCTGTGCATGCTGCCAGAAGCAAGAGTTAGTCTTGAATTATTTGCGCAAAGTTTTCTAGGCGTTTCTACAGTTTTTATTCAATAAAGCGAGATATTTTGTGATAGCTTTTTTCATGTTTAAATCCATTGTATTGTAGACATACAGGGTGTTTTCAAAAAAGATACCATAAGTTCAGGAGCCCATAGAACATAGAAGATAATAGGATTGTTTTTGAGATAAAGGACGTCAAAGACGATTTTAGCAGAACCTAATAACATTGACATTTTTTGCAAAAACGGGTAAAATTTGATTTTAAAAAATTTTTGACAATGCGTACCACAAACGCAAAAGACGATAGATCCGTGGTCTATAGGAAAAAATCTTATTATTTATGTATTATCAGTCCCTGAATTTATGGTAATGTTTTATAAAACACCCTGTACATATTTTTAAACAACTACAATTGTTCATTGTTGTCAGGATAGTAACTTCCATAGATATGGCAGAATTGAAAGTATAGATGTAATAATAGTTGTTTATTGTATAAGTGTTTTAAATAGCATTTATCCACGAAATAATGTTTAATCGCGAGAACGAAATTCGAGCGTTTAATATTCTTAAGTGGATAAAAGGCAATTAAATCACGAATGCAATACAACGTTTTATCCATAGTCACATCACAATCATATTTGTGGAGTCAGAATTACTGGAATTTAATAAAAAAATATTCCCACGACTCGATATTTCTTACTAGTACTCAATGAAAGTAAGTAAGTTTTGTTATCCCTACTGACTGGTTGCTGTGGTACGTTGTTTATTATCAATTATTTAATAAACAGTTCTATCTGAATTTGGTAAAAATTTATGAAAGTAACTGTGTATTCGATGTTGAAGGCTACTATAAAGGTCTACAAAAATATAGATATTGGAAAATATAACAAGCGCACTGCTTATTTGAAGAGTGAATCGAGAGGATACAAAGTAAAAAAGCTGCAGTATTGGAAAGAGCACATATTGAATATCTCTTTACCTTTTACATGTTGTTAGGTATATATACAGGGTGTGGCGTCTTTAATGCAGAAAATTAAAAACCTAGACTCTTGACAATAAATGAAATAAAATAATATATGCTGCCATAAGGCCATAATTATGAGGATTGAGTATCAAAAATATTTTCCAAAAAATTACAAGAAGTGACAAAATGTTAATGCCGGTCCTGTTTAATATAGCGCAAAAACACTGACCTAGTCCGCACTCCGCACGGCACCTGTGGAGTGTCAGTTACTGTCAGTGTCAGTACGCGGGTGAATTGCTGCTAAGTTGTGTCAAAAAGATCGCGCTTCTACTGTTTAGACGTTAAGTGTTTATTAAAGACGTTTCTTATTTTTTATTTTTTATGTTATTGTTTTAACTAAATCGGCAATGGATAACGAGGACAACAATAATACGTTTACTAATATTGAACGATAGCGGTAAGTTTGCATCTTTTTTGTTTGTCGTGATCCAACCTATCACTTGCTAAAATAATAGTAGTCTTTTCTGTAACACCATGTACTTTATTTCTACAAACCTCTTGTCTGGGATTGCACATTATCATTTACAGTGAAATAACTAATTGAATTTTATGTTTATTTTTCCTTTTAATTAAAACGAGAGGATTGTATTAAACTGGCCAAAATTATTTATTATTGCATTAAAACATTTTATCTCTTTTGTGTGTATTTCATACATTTTAATTTGGCAACACTGATTTGCGCAAAGGCTTGACTCTCTGTTAAGTTCGGTTCGGCAAGCGTGCGCTGATGTTAATCGAATGGCATGACATTTTTTGACCAGGACCGTACTAAGATTTATTTCTTCGCTACAAAATTGAAGTTCAATTTTCTTGACAAAACGTGGATATATGAATTTCTTATATAAGGCTTTTTTATTGCATATATTCCTAGGAATCTGCATTTTATTTTTTCTGCACTAAAGACGCCACACCCTGTATAGTAAACTTTGAGAATTATTTTAGGTTGCACCAATAATGAGGGGTTTCTGGTGCCTGTCGTTGCTGCGAATTGACATATTTGAAAATTAGTGATGTACAGGACGTTGATAATGGAAATCCAGAAGCATATACTGACCATTGTATGAGGCGCACTTCAACAGCTTTATTGGTCAATAAAGGTGCTGATCTTACCACCACCACACGGCATGGTGGATGGAAGAGTTCCTCTGTAGCGGAAAGTTATGTTAAGGTGTCTATATCTAACAACCTTGATTCTGCAAGGAAAATCCAAGGAAAATATAGCTGTTCCTTACAAGAAGAGACATCCGTAGCTTGTGCAAATTTTTCACAAACTTCAGCAGATGTTATGCGTTTCCAAAAATGATGGGCCACAATGTTACAAGGGTTGTTATTAACGGAAAGGAAGTTAAATGTGATAAAGTAAAAAACGAAATGTCTATTACTATAAATGTAAATGTTAATAAGCAGATAAATTAAATTTGATTTATTATAGGTTTATTATTTTTTCATTGGGTATTCTACTAGTGAAATAAAGTTACTTTCTTCTACTAGTGGATAAAGTATCACTTTAGACTGTTCATATGTGTGGATAAAAGTCCGATTATAAGGTGATTGTGGATAAAAGTTTTTTATTTGGAATTTAATAATCATATAATTTATTATCTTTAATTTAGATCTAACAAATCTCAATAAACAAAGACTTAAATAAAACAAGAAGACAATCACAACAAGACAATCACTTGCGTTGTTTGTTATCTGTGGTTTTGTTCTAGAATTTGAGTTACTTGAGTCAGTTTAACACATTTAAAAGTAACACAAAAATCGATGCTTTTATGGAAAATGTGGTACTTTCTGCCGCTTGGTATTTAATTTTCCAAGACTCAAACATATTGGTCTTAAAAACATCCTTACGCTTTCAGTAGACTTTCTTCTTATATTTCAGTTTTAGTGCATGTTTATACGTTTTTCCATGTGGAAAACAAGGAGGTAAAAACGACTTACCTGTGCGACTTTTTCACCCATTTTGGGAGTGTGAATACCACTTTGGAAGTACTTCGCTGAACCATTGTCTTGGAACGAGAACTGGAAAAAAACTTTTGGTGAATTTACTGTAACTACTTTCATTTCACTTAAATTAGTCTACATTGTGTTATATGTAAGACGGGTTCTTCCATGGCTGCGATAATACCAACAATACAATATGTTTCAAATAAAAGTGGCACACGGTTGTACGGGGTCTCATTTCTTTTGGGAGTTTCCTGATTTCAATTTTTTCAATGTGCATTATTGTATTTCTTAATTGCTCTTTAAATATAAGGCTTACTTTTAATGGAAAATTGATGAGATACATAAATTTTATTTCAAATACATTTTTGTGTCGTTGATATCACAGAGCTATGGAAAATATCGTCTTAAGTGGACCTGTATAAATTTGTGCCAAAAATATGAACAAACCATAACAAGAACTAAAAATAGTTTTTAATATTAAAGGTGAATATCATAAACTACTAGCATATTCTTAATACTATATAAAACCAGTCACTTGATGTATATGAATAATATAAAAATATAGGTATACATCTACACAAACCCAAGGCTGTTAAAAACAACAAAAATAATGTCGGAATGCATAGGTATGAAGTTCGGAATATGTAAATGTAAGACATTCAATTTAGAAAAAGAAAAATGGAAACATGAATAAAGCGAGGAAGTACTTCACAACGAAAAAATTTTTCAAGTGGAAAAACATGAATAATATTATGATTTAATCAAAAAAACAATTGGACCATGCCAGAACAAAACGAGATCTTGAGCAGCAATACATAAAGAGATTGTGCCCGTACCTCAAGTCAAAATTAAAGTAGAAAAACCTGTTTGAAAATAATAAAATGGTCGGAAACAGACTTAGACAATATTAACATATTAACCAGAACACCATTAGTAAACTACACCCCAACTTTTATAGAGAAGAGAAGTGTGCATGTGTAACAAACAGATAAAATCCTTAAGATCTTATTCCAAAGAACACGCATTATATAGGGCCATAGTAAAAATAGATAAGAATTGCACACCTCTAAACATATCGACGCAAGAACAATCTTTCGTCTTCAATCCAACAGAACAGAAGAAAATAAATTGGTTGTCGCAACCGCTTTATGGACACTATAATAATGTCAATCAGGAACAGACAGTAAACAAACTGTATGTTTGTATAATTCTTACAGAAATATTTTTTAACCGAATTTTAAACGTTCAAGTCAAAAATCTCGCGCGCGACGAGCGCGACGGTCACGCGCATGCGCGGGCTCTGTGCTCCTCCCGCGTGCAGGCCGTTTATTAACGTTAACTTTACTGCTGCTAGCGCGTTTATTACATGAGCTATCAATGTAAAACTTTTTAGAAATAAAAGTTTAACCCTTTCCTTAACTGCCTCTAAAATCCCGATCCGATACGTCCAATAGTAAATTAACGATTAACGTTATAAAAAAAGGCTATCTTAGAAACAAAGAGACTTAGGGTAATTTCTCTCTCTTTTTTAATTAGCGAAAAAATAAGCTCTATTTAATGCAAAAAGAGCGAATTCCCGAGCGGCTTTTGCCTGACTCTGGGACAATTCGTCTATAACGCTGTTTTGCACGACCTACTTTGTTAGTTGTACAGGGCTACTTAATTTCAACTTTTTGAAAATTTTCTTTTTCGATACGTTTCTTTGGATCAATCAGAACCTAATATTACATTAACAATATTAACGATATTAACTTATAAAATTAACGTTCAATAATTAAACAATTAGTTGCAAAAAACCCAACGAAATTAACTGTTGGGTAATGTAATAAATATTATTACTATTATAAATATAAATGAAAACTTTCTACTCAAAAAATAAAAATAGCTAGAAATAAATCACCAAAAATCGATTAAATTATTCAGGGAGAAATAGACAATATATTCAGTGAGCCCGCTCTAGCAAAACCAACAAACAGGCTGTGAAAGAGGGAAACAAAACACAATCACTTGTTGATTAGCATAAATTGAAGGAACGCACAAATAATATTTGCAACATCCTGCAGAACTTTCTTTCTATCTCTCATCATAACCGAGATGCATGTCCATAGGTATGGCACAAGAGACACACTGCATAACCATTCTTTTTAAATGGTAAACACTACAAAAACACTTTCACAAACCTTTGACGAATCACTGGAATCGTACAAGAGCTGGGATTCAAAACTTTTTTCCCTGGACGCGTCATTCTCATAGACAAAAGACACTTGCACCATCTCGACTCACTTGTTTCTGTCACAGCACATTTTTCACGAGTACACGCAGTTAAAACGAAGTATTACCGAAAGTCGGGAATAGTAGCAGTGTATCAGTTTTTCGTATAGAGGCGTAGGAACAGTCTATTCGTCGAAGGTAGTGGATGCGTATCGCTGGACGGGTTCGAGGGGTGAGATGGATGTTCTGGCGTCAACTTGACGCCGAGACCGCCACTATAGAGACTATAAAAGCAGGAGGAGACGTGTAAAAAGGGAATTAAAATTGACGGGGCTTTAATGCAACGATGATGAAGGCACGTTCCAGTTTTTTTCTTAGATATGTCAAATTCAAGGCAATGCGAATAAAAATTGCGTGTCATTTACTATGCTGAAGGTATTAGAAGAGATATCTACGCGGCTGTGATCATCTGTCTTTGTGAAATTGGAACGGTAGTCATTAGATTGTTGATGAAGGGTTGCTCGTGTCGATTATAGGCCAAATGGTAGAGCAATAACTTCATTTACCTCCATAAAACAGTATATTGACGAAATGCCAAAATTAAATCCACTTTTCATGTAACAAATTTTACAGTAAATTGCTCAATCCGCTTTATTGGTGGCAACTTTTTACACCGTTCAGTCAAATTTAACGATGTCAACTTGTGGAATAAAAACAAGTTATGATAAAAGCAAAATGTAAACCTAATTTTCTTATAACACATATTACAACTGCAATAACAAACGCTTTTTATATACTCCCACTATAGTAAATGGACTATTAATACATTGTTTTTAAGAAGGTAAGTGAATTTTGCCGTAGAAGTGGAAGTTGCTAATGTAGTGAGGTAACTTACCTCCCGTTGAGCGATTTCGAGTTATACATAAATGCATATTTTATGAACAAATAAATAGAAATATTTGATGAACATTACATTTTATTAATTATTATGAATGCATATTTATAGTAATTGTACAGTTACATTTAGTAACATTTATAAAATCTGGATAATTATTCCCCTCGCGTTTACTAATTGTCACATTTTTCTCGAAATGATTTGACAGCTCACCGGAGGCCCAATATTATCTGACTGATCCATTAAAACAGCATGATTCAACGTACTACTAGAACCTGTTGTTGAAGTGTCATTGGAAAGAATCCTGTTGGCTATTTCATTTTTGTTATCTACTTAAACTGTCAGTAACATAACTTTCTGCAATTGTGGCTCATTTCCACCCACCATATCTCTTGATTGCTAATACATCAACTCCTGTATTAGCCAGTAACGTTGCCGATGTTCTTCGGACTGAATGGCCTATATGTTTCAGGATGTTCTAGTTTCAAAAATTGTGCAATCTCATTAGGATTCATAGAAAGGGTATTCTTGCCGACTGGTTGGATGTAACATCTACCTGCTTGATAGAGCATAAACAAGTGTGATATTTCAGTTTTAATTTCCAATCTAATCTTGATATATTTCTTGAGAATTCTAGGTGAGAAACAGAACCCAGACCAGAAGTAATTGTAAACGTACGTAACATACCATTTTTAGGATCTGGAATTGTAACTACGATAATGCCACCGAATTTTAGAAATTGACGTTGTTCAAAGTAAGTTTGCATAAGTCATCAGAACGGCACGCTCCTGCAATGCCAAAGACCGTCATTACCTTCATTAGCAAATATCTGTTATCGGGTGCATGAACGAAAAAATCGTTGACTTGTTCTCTTGTAAAAAACGTTTGACTTTTTAAGTGTATAGCCGTCATTCTTACGTTTCAAATATGCTCTCAGCTTGGGGTATTTTGATATATTCACTCCACAAACATGCTTTCAGAAAGACTAGTATTTTTATTCTGGCACCTTTCTTTGACATTTCTATATGCTCGTCCGTAGCGTTCTTTCGACTTCTCTGGCAATAAAAATTCGTAGACAGCATTTGCTGCACTTTCCATTTGAAAATCACTCATTTACAAATAAAAATTCAAAACAAGCAAAATTGCAACTTTTATGTATCTAGCTTTGTTTATTAGGCGGTTTTACTTCATTTCCAAGAAACAAAAAAAAGATAACCCGCAGAAAATAAACGTTATTTAAAAAAGAGAAATTACAATTTAAGAAACAGAAAAAATATATATTTTCAATTTAATAACTATAAAAACAGTACACCAAAGCTACAGAAAAATAAAATTGTGTAACATGTGTTAAAAAACATTTTGAATATGAACACATTTGAAAATTTGCATGAACATCAATTTGATAATTTCCCTAACAATTGTAATCATTTAATAGAACTTGTAAGGGCTGTATGTGAAAAATATATTGATGTGAGAATAAATCATGAAGTCAAAATATTTATTTCAGTAAAATCTACGAAAAGAAAAATATTAAATAAACTTGCATTACTTAAAGGACAATAAATATATTTAAATTATTTTGTAGGTTTATTTATTATAAGCAAGACATTAAAATAAATTTTCTGAATTCCAAACTTGAAAAATGAATATTTGTCATAAGTGTAAAAATATTGCTTAATCCGGACCTATTCAAAGAATGTACCGCACATTCTTTCTTCTGATTACCTCGCACACTCCACTTCCCCGCAATTTGCATTCACTGGTACCCGTGTATTGGAATTAGATACAGCTAGTCTAGGTGGTCTATGCATAACTTTTGTCCTTACCATTTTTTGTTATACGTACAGAAAGGTAAAAGAGGCAAATAGGGAAGAATGAATATTATCTTTACGATTGATGATCTGTCATTAATGTAAAGTTGTCACTATGGATATCCATTTTATAATAAACTGGATGTATGTCATGAATC